ACAGCTGTGTTAGTTAACTTTTTGTTGCTGGAACAAAATGCCTGAGAAAAACAACTTAAAGGAAGAAAGGTTTATTTTGGCTCAGTTTCAAAGGTTTTGGTCCTTGGTCATTGGCTTCATTGCTTTGGGCCTGAGGTGAGGCAGAATATTATGGCTGAAAGGCACAGTAAAAGGAAAGATGCTAAGCAGACCTCAGGCTTTCCTGGGAACCTGGTGTCTTTCTGTGCTCAGTGCCAACTCCTGCCAAATGCCTTCTTGGCTCTGAGAGCCAAGACCTGGCTCCCAGTGGGGCTCACCAGGTGATAAACGAACCTTCCTCACTGTGAACTAAGGGCTTGGCATTGCCTTAGATGCCCAGTGAATGTTTTGAGGAGCTGTGGCCTTGCTCCTCAGAGCTCTCTGTGCCCGTGAGCACTGGGCCAGGCTGGCTGAGGTGCCCACTTCTGGCTCTGCTGTGGCTGATCACTTGGGCTTCCTGTGTTGGATTTGTCTAGAGTGTGCTGTACATGGTGGGATATGAGGCAGTCTCTTTTTTCCCCTCCTCCCTCTTGAAAACTGCCTTTCCAGAATTCTTTCTAAAGTTACACAGCTTTCTCATTATATACTTTAATTTGAACAACAAAGTACAGTTTGAGGATACTTCAGCCTGAGTGGGGGAAAAAACTGTAGTCTAATTACTGAATCTGGATAGTTCTAGAAGTCCCTTGACAGTATGAAAAAGAAAAGAGGCAGAGAAGTTTAACATGAATTGAGTTAATTATTTCTGGTGGGAGGCAGACCTCATAATTATAAGTGTGAAGTATTGTTATAAACAAACATTTCAAAGATCACTAATAAAAGGGGGATTACTAAGTGGCTACAAATATATGATTATAGGCTGATGGAAAAGCCAGCTGCCTTGCTGCTGTGAACGTGGCAGTGTGGTGGGTTGGGGTAGCACTTCCAGTACCAACATCCTACAGGGTTCACTGGGGGCCTCGTCCCATCCTCTGGACACCTAGTGAGGGTGACATGCCCCGGGGGGTCAGCCTCACTCAGGTGGATAAGTGTGCTTTTGTTGATGCAAGTGAAGGATTTCAGAAAGAAATTATTTCATAGGCTGGGTGGGAAACTAATGTTTTTAAATAGGATTTTAAATTTTAAGTATGTGTCTATAAATAAATTAATAAAGGTTATGAATGATTATTTGACTACGTCCCTAAAAATTATAAATTTCATCTGGCATACGCCATTGCTGTGCATTGTCTCATTGGCTGATTGCCTTTAGTCCGAGAGCCACTTTTTATTCCTGATTTCCTGGGTTGTATGGTAATTCTTTCTATAGCTCCTTAGGGGACTTGAAAGAAGAAGAAGGGAGGGCTAGGATGTGGCTCAAGTGGTAGCGAGCTCGCCTGGTATGCATGCGGCCCGGGGTTCAATCCTCAGCACCACATACCAACAAAGATGTTGTGTCCGCTGAAAACTAAAAATAAATATTAAAAATTCTCTCTCTCTCTCACTCTCTAAAAAAAAAAAAAAAGAGAGAGAGAGAGAAGAGGAAGGGAGAGGGGTGAGGAGTGGGCTCCGGGCTCCCTTGCTTTCTTTTCCTCTCTTTACTTGTTGCTGTCCCTGGTGAGGCGCCAGGCCCTGGTCTGGGGGCTCCAGAGTATGCCAGATCCCGATGCCATCCTCAGGCAGGTCACAGTTGGAGACCTGTTTGTCTTGGGGAGGACTGGGCATTTTGATTCACACTTGCAGTGTCTGTGATTTGCTTCTTGCTGCATAAGTATATTCCCTGGAACATATTAATTTATCTTTAAGTAGATTTATTACATGAAATATTCATTGGAGTAGGCTTCACAGTACAGCTCTTAGAACAAATGTACTGAGTACAGTTTGTCCTCATAAATCTATTAATGCTGATAGATGCAGTTGTCGCCTGGGAAGCTTTAGGGTGATGTGGGGCCGGTGGGGACGACGCTGGCTGCCAATTCCTCTCTACCTCCCCGAGCTTGGCTGCGGCTGCAGCAGGCCCTGCTCTGGGCACAGTGCACAGCCTTTCTCTCCCTGTTGAATGGACGTAGAGGCTCCTCTTCTGTGAGAGCCCTTTGGTCAGCTTCCAGCTTCTTGTGTCACTGCAGCTCCCAGTGGTGGAGGAGACGGGATGAGGCTCAGAGGAAAAGCTGGCTCAGAGCTGTGACTGGTCTGTGAGGAGTGGGGACTCAGGGGACCAGAGGACAGGCACAGGATGCTAAGGCTTAGGAATAAAAGCAGTGTCACAACCCCTGAGCTGGATGCTTGTTCCAGATAACCCTACGGGCCAGCATAGGAGGTAGTTGTTGTCACTCCCATGTTACCCGTGAAGAAGCCGAGGCAGAGAAGCCTAGTCACTTGCCCTAAGTGCGGCTCTGTAGCAAACTTATGTTGATAGCCTTGCATTTATATGGCCAGGGTCTGGACACAGGGCATGGGGCAATCACAGCCTCTGACCTCAAGGAGTGTCCCCTCCTGCAGATATGGAGACAAAAGACCTGGGGAGCAAGTGCCACAAGAGCGGTGAAGCCCTGTGTGAAATGGGGTGCAGGAAGGCCCTGGTGGATTGTGGGAGGCTATGGGAAGCTGGAGAGGAAGCTTGGAAGACTGGATAGGAGTTTACCAGGCAGATGGGGGCTGGGAGAAGGAGTTCCAGACATGGGAAGAGCAAGGACAGGTGTAGGAGGACATAGGATATAAAGGGGTGGCCAGCAGGTGGATACCCCTTGCCTGGTTCAGTTCTGTTCAATCCCAAAGGGCGGTGTCGGGAGGTAGGCAAGACCACTATTATAGAAGCTCCTAGTCGTTGCTGGGGAGTTTGGGCTGCAGCTGAGGGCACCAGGGTGCATGGGAGGCTTTGAGAGCAAGAGAGAGAGATGAATTTTGTCTATTTGGAGAACATTTGCAGAGGTACAGCAAAGGCTGCTTGGAGGGGGTGAAGTAAGCCTGTCAGAGAGGTCACAGACAGGGTATGTCATTTAGGATTTATATTGGGAAATAGCAGGAACTGGTCTCCACTCCCCATCTCAGGCTGCTAGGCCATGGACATGAAAAGGTCAAAGTGAAACAAAGAAACAAAAAACCCAACAGCAGCAATGACAGCAGCAACAAAAAAAAACAGAAAAGGGACAAAGGGACTCATCTGCCAACTCAACCAGTATCTTAGAAATATCTGGAAACTTCCAAAGGACTTTTATAAAACAATACAAGGTTAAACAAAACAAGTTTTATATAAAACAAGTTTTAGTGAATGATGAGGACGGACCAAGGTGGTATAAATGTTTTTCCAAGTTTGATAGTATTTTAGAAATTTAAGGAGACCTAAGGACAAAAGCAACCATGTGAACTAAGAGAAATATTGGTTAAGGAGAGATATAAGAGAAACAGAAATGAGAGAGATATTTCTGAGAAGACCAAAAATAGAACCCCAATTAGGGAAAAGTAGGTGGAGCAACTTAGCATCATCTTAGGTCTGTGAAGACAACCTAAGGCTTGGGAGGTGCAGGGAGTGCAGGAGGCTCGAAACCAGGGCAGTGGGTGATGGAATGGAGCCCACCAGTCTGAGAACTTCTCAGGCACTGCCCACTGCTGACCTCTATGCTGCTGGTCGGGCCACTGTCAGCATGAACAGGCCAGTCACATGATCACGTGGCTTCCCCTTTTGCTGCTGGTACCTGTTCAGGTCGATTCTTGGGCTGGGAGTTGGTGTAGTGGTGATGTAGGCGGCACCTAGTAGGCCTGTCCTATCCTGTCAGGTACCAGGGAAGAGGGCAGGAGGAGGGGGCCACCAGCAGATATCCTAGAAGGGCAGAGGAAGGAGGGGAAACATCCAGGCTTCTGACTTGAGTGCTTGTTGGGTGTAGAGGAATGACTCAGGTGCTCTGGGGCACCTGGAGCAATGGGAAAAACCTGCAAGACAGATGTGAGCAGAGCATGTGGTATTGTGATATCGTACAAGGCTACGGCTGGTGTGAGATGGACTTTAACTTTCTGGAATAGTGTCAGGCAGGAAAACTAACTGAGGGTCCTGTCAGTACTCCTGTCTACTATCATCCTAGGACACGGCATCTCCCTCCCTTGCTGGTCACTGATCAGGAGAGGATGTGTTCATAGAGAAAGGAACCTGGGGCTGATCTGGACACCAGAGTCCTGACTCTGCTTTTGTTAGCTGTGTGACTGTGGCAGTGGAACCTCTCTGGGCATCTGCTTCCTCATTTGTAATTTGGAAGGTACAACACTGATGCCTGTCTCTCGGAAGTCTTGGGCTGTCATGGGGATCAGAGAGCATGTGGGAGAGCAATTTGCAGAGCTGTGGCTGGTGGCACCTCCAAACCTCGAAGTGCTTTGAGGGTTAGTGGCAACTCGTTATTTCTTACACTTCTCATAGTCCCTCAGAGTTTCTGAACACTCAAGAAATGCAAGTTGAGTTGGCAGATAAGTCTGCCTCAGTGCTCAGCATTTTCCTGGTTCCTTTTTCCGGTTGCCAATATTCTCAGTGTTTGCAGTTTTGGACAAGGGAGGTAGAACTGGAGCATCTCATGGGCCTGTGGCACACGTACAGTGGCCACTAGGAGGTGGTGGTGACCAAGCAGTATTAGCCATCCAGCCATGCTGAGGCTGAGAGTTCCAGGATCAGGGGCTTTATGGCTTCTTGTCCTTGGACACAGAGCTGGCCTTTGGTGTGACTCAGCTTGAGGTTCAAAAGCAGAGGCAACTGGGAGCTGTTTCCATTCCCTGTCTGCCCTCCCCCATGGTATCCCCATCCCCTAAGTAGGACAGTCTCTGTGTAACCTCAACTCTAACTCCTCATTGTTCCCCATTTCCTTAGCTCTTAGTTGCCCCCACCCCAATCCCCATCATCATCTTCTCTTGGTCCCTGGAGAGGACTTGTCTGTTTCTGCTTCCTGGGCTCAGACGTGTGTTGGGTGCTTGGAGCCCAGGGTGAGAGCGGATTGGCTGATTGCTGAAGTTTTCTTGCCCCACTACAGGTCATCTTCCACGATGTTGCTGCGCTGACGGACAAGCTCTTCCCTGTGGTGGAGGCCATGCAGAAACACTTCAGTGCTGGCTCAGGGACCTACTACAGTGATGCCATCTTCTTCCTCTCAGTTGCCATGCATCAGATCATGCCCAAAGGTAACGTGGACTGAGGAGCAACAGCCCTGCGTTGTCTGATTCTGTATGCATTTCCCTGGTTCCTTCGTGGCTGGTGCCCTGTCTCAGGTGAAGAGCTCTACTGAGATGTGTGAGAGAGGGTGAGGAGTCAGCCAAGCCCTGTGGGCAATAGGGCTTTTTGCACTTAGAATTAAAGGTGGTCCCTGTTTTTTGTGGCTCCTGGGGTCAGGTCATGAAGACATAGTTTGATTTGTGCAGTGTAGTGTTCCTAGGCACAGGGGACCTGGACTGTGGCCCTGAGTATGCCCCTTGCACACAGCTCCCCACTTCCCCAGGGCTTAGTTTGCATATCTGTAAGATGCCAGGTAGCACTAAGTTGTCCATCATCCAAATTTGTGATCCTTTCTGATTTTAAAAAGATAAAACCTGGATATGTGAGGTACAGATTGTGGATCTAGTAGAACTTTTTTTTTTTTTTGAAACTCTAATGCACATTAGAGGAGTTTCTGGGCTTCTGCACCTCTAGGGAAGAAATGATGTGTAGCCTGTAATAGGTGCAGCTTGTGAGGAATTCCTAGCAGGTTGATCATCCTTTGCCAGAAACTTTGGAGGGGCCTTATTTGTGGGGTGTCCCTGGCTTCTGGATTCTCATTCTAGTGATCCTTGATTGGTTCTGGAGCCCTGGATATCATCTAGTTTCTGGTCATACAACCATGTTGTATGCCTCTTAGCGGTGAGAAGGGGTATTTTGGGGTAGCAGTTGCGGTAGCGGTTTTCCTAATTGTGGTTGATTAGCTTTTCCAACAATTTCCCAACCAATAGGACTTTATAGCCAAGGGGACAGCTAGGCCACTTGGTAGAGGTCTGCTGCGCTGGCTTAGCAGACCAGAAGTAAAGGAGAAGCCAAGAGCCACTTACAGACTAGAAGGGCCTGGTCAACCAGGGACTTAGGAGGTGAGAGTTGAACCTCACCTCCTGTTGTCGGTATCATATTGCAGGGAAAAGCAAGCCCATCTGTTTTGACTGAAACTCCACAGGTGAGTTCTAGTATCAGGGAGGTCTTTGCAAGCAGGGGTGAAGGAGAAAGGAGGACAGGGTGAACTAGCATTTGTGATCCTTTACAGAAAATGAAGTGAAGCCACCAAATCCTACCCCATTTCTATGAGGTGACAGGTAGGGCTGCCTAAGAATTTGCTTCCCTTGCCTCGGGTTATAGACCCACTTAAGTTGCAGAGCTGGGATTTGAACCCAGGTCTGCCTGGCTTAGAGTCCTGCAAATAGCAGCTACTTCTATCTCATTAGGTGGCCCGTATGAGACCACTGTATCCGCCCGATGCAGGTGCCGTGGGCCGCTCAGACTTGGGGAGGCTGGTCTCATCTCTGACCAGTCATGTATGTGCCTTTGGCTGAGCTGCTTTGTCTCTCAGGACCTCAGCTTCCTCACCTGTAGACTGAGGCCTGCACCAGTGAGCTATTGCAGCCTGCATTCTGATCCAGGGCTCATAAAAATCTCTCTAGGGTTTGTGTTGTTCTGGGGAGCCAGGGGAAGACGAGTTTCATCATCACCCGCTCCACTCTGGCACCCCATCTAACTCCTCAGTGTCTTTCTTGACTTGCTTTGTGTATCAGGGTTTGGCATAGGATTCTGTTTAGTCAAAGAGTTCCATGGGCTGATCAATTTGAAATGGCTCAGCTAGAAGGGTGGTAAGGATCTAGTCTGACCAGTCCTGTCATTCTGCATGTGTGATTGGCCTTGATGCCAGAGGACAACAAGAGGTACAAGAAGAAGCCTGCTGCCCAACTTATGGTGCCTCCTTCCCTCCCTCTGTCCACTGCCAGGTCCCTGCCTGCTGGGAGCTGAGCTCTAAGCCAGGTTGTGCTTTGATGTGCCCAGCAGGAGGTGAATGGCAGCTCTCTCCAGTTATGGGGAGAATCAGGTGCTAAATAAAGAAGGGCTAGATGACAAACTAGAGAGTTGCCTGGCCACCCTGGCTTTATGATGAGAAGTGTTAGCCAGGAAGGCTACTCTGGCCCTCTCCCACTTTGTTAGCTGGGTAGCTTGGGCTTGCTTGGGGACCATGACTTCAGAGAACAGGCTCTGGTGGGAGCTCTGCCATGGGTCAATAGGTGGTTCATCATGAGGCCCATCATGTGTGGGCTGTGGCCCTCCTGGGGCTGGCATGGGAAGGTGCAGCTAGTTGTTTCAGCCCAAGCACCCAATCTTTTTGGATTTTTTAGCTGAATGATAATGTGCTTCCAGAGATTCATTTTTGCTTATGCCCAAGATCTACTTCTTAAGAAAGGAGACTTTGGGAGTCACTAAAACTTGATAGTCATAAAACAAATGGGCAGCACTGGAGCTTCCTGTGGCGTCTGGGGCGTGTTCTGCTAGGAAGTCTGGCTGCCGCTCAAAACTCCGTGGAGTTGCCAAGTTCCTACTGGGTAGGTCATTTGGAATTCCTGCAATTTTCGGAAGGACACCGTGTTTTCACATCATTAGTGCTGTCTTGAGATGGTGGAAGTTCTTTATTATATTCTTTTTTATATTTCTTTTTTAATCTTAGAAATTATTGTTCTGTGCTTTGGTTAATGATTTTGTTCTAGAGTAATTGCTGCATTCATGCTATTTTGGTTGTTTCATTTCTTTTTTCCTTGTTTTTTTTTTTTTTTTTTTTGTACTGTGAATGTAACCCAGCAACACTTTACCACTGAACTATATCACCAGACCTTTTTATTTTTTATTTTGAGACAGGGTCTCACTAAGTTACTGAGTGTCTTTCTAAGTTGCTGAAGCTGACCTCAAACTTGTGATCCTTCTGTCTCAGCTTCCTGAGTCACAGGTGTGCACCTCCAAGCCTGCTACTATTTTATTTGTTTTCTAGTATTTTTTTCCTAAGAGTGAGGATGGGGTGGGTGGGACCTGAGCACCTGGGCCACATCCAGGAAGGTTGGATCTGCTAAGCTGCTGCTCCTCTGAGTTAGGAGTCTGGAGTTTTTGTGTAGGGTTCCTGAAATTCAGGTTCTTTCTGTCTCAACTTCTCTTTTCTTCCCCTCTGTAGAATAAGGGTCACCCTTCTGTATCTAAACTACTTTAAAAATAGATTTACTACTTTTATTCTTTTTTTTTTTTTCCTGGTGCAGGGGACCTAAACTAGGACCACTGAACCCACCCCAAGCACCTGTTTACTTACTATTCTATTTTAAAAGTAACATCCATTCATAAAATATCTGAGAACAACATTAAAACAAAAGAAAGCTAGCTGGGCGAGGTGGTACACGACTGTAATCCCAGCAATTGGGAGGCTGAGGCAGGAGGATTGTGAGTTCAAAGCCAGCCTCAGCAAAAGCAAGGTGATAAGCAACTCAGTGAGACCCTGTTTCTAAATAAAATACAAAATAAGGCTGGGGATATGGCTCAGTAGTTGAGTGCCCCTGAGTTCAGTCCCCAGTATCAAACAAAAACCAAACCAAAACCACAATAGAAGAAAGCTGTTCTTTACTATCATATAAATACCATCAATATTAATTCCTTGATCATCTTCTAGCATTTTCCCCTCAAGTGCCATTTTTAAAATTTAGGCAAAGTTGGAGTTATTCTTTATATTCAGATCATTCTGAGCTTTTTATATGTAGAGCTGTGAAATTTGAACTTTCATTTCAACTAAAAGTGAAGGAAATGATATAAGTAAAACTATGTTATCATTTTTCTAGTTAATGTCACACATCTGTACAGTTATAATTTTTGAAAATTTTTGGAATGGTTCAATGAATGGATGAAATTTGATTCATCCATTTATCATGTCCCTGTTTTCAGCTGGCAGGATGCTTACTGTTTTCTTTCTAATACCATAAATTAAACTGTGATGGTTGTCTACATGCATAAAGATCGTCTTGTTAGGACAAGGGTAGAATTATGAGGCCAGAGGTGATCTTTACAAAGCCAGGGTGTGTCAACTCCCCTCTCCCCTTTGTGTTGTCTGTACGGGTAGGTTCTATACAGTTTTCTAGGTCCATTAGGGTCTGACCTCTCCTGGAGTTCAGGTAGCCGCAGAAGTTTCAAGTCAGTTGGCATCCTGCTTGACTTAGTTGAGACTTAGGCCACTTTGATAAGTCCTGGAGTGAGCTGGGTCTCCCCCTGGGTTTCCAATCCCTCTGCCCATGCCCATTCTGATGTTCTGACCTAAGGCCCTGTCCCTACCCCTATACCACTGTAGAACTTGGCCTCCGCACCTCTCTTCTTGCCCCCTTGCTGCGGCCCTGCACTTGGGACCTGGCTGGGACAGGACATGTGTTGTGTGTGCCCTGACTGCTCCCTTTGGAACAGTGCAACCCAAAACCACATTGGCAGAGCTGTGCCCCAGGAGGAACAGAGGAGCCCTGCCAGGCGGGACATACTGGCTCGGATTTTGGTCAGTGCTTGTTTGTCTTTCCATTGCTTGTTTGAGGGGTTATGTGGCTGGCTGGCTGGTTCTGTCGTTCCCACAGCAGCCTGTCCTCGTGTTCTCCACAGCCTGAAGCCACTCTCTGCTCTTCTCTCACACCCACAGGGTTTTTATCTCCTTCTGTTGGTATTAGCTTTGTCACCAAAGGAAGCATTTTATGTTGTGGAAAGGAAAACATTTTTGCCCAATTGGAGCTGGAGGGAGCAAAAAGCAGCTCCTTCAGGACTGCCAGCTTTCCTTCCCGTTGTCACACTGCTCTGAGGAGCCGTTGGCTCCAGCCTGGTGACATGGGGGAAAGCTGCCCTGGCAAGCTGGGCCCAGAGGCGTGGTCTGTGGTTGTGGTCGGGCCTCCTGGGCAGGGCAGGCAGGCGCCAGACAATCAGCAGTGCCTCAGACCAGCCAGAGTCCCCAAGGAGACTTTTCTGGGGTCCCTGGAAGGTTGTCGTGTCCTGTGGTCAGCATGAGTTGGTAGACAGCCATGGCCAAGGGTCTGCTACTGGCAGGATGCAGTGCCAGCTGCTCTGGGAGTCTCAGGGAGTCTGTTGGCTCATGTTATAGGGCAGAGTCCAACAATTAGAA